AAGTGATTACTATACAGAATTCGCATTTTTTAAATAATATATGGAAAAGTCAAAATAATATTTCGTAATTGTTCATTTTTTTCAATTAAATTAAACTCGTGATATATCACTAAAGCCATGGGCTATGTGAACTTAGACACAAATGTATTTTATAAAAAATAAATCATTAAAAAGAAGAAGAGAGACCTCGTATATATTTTTGGTTGATTTTTCTATGACTGTCTCATTTGATTGTTCCCGTACACCTTCTTGATTTATAACAAGAACTCCATGATTTTCTTTTCATCATGTTCTCCAATAAAAACAAAAGCCCTCTTCTCCATGGATCAAAGCATTGTGCTAAATAACCATTTAAACGATGATGAAGTAATAAGAATTTAAAATTAAAAGGTTTGCTTTTTTGGTGGTTTCAGGTCTAAGTTTTCAGTTGCTTATATAATAGCTACTGAAAACTTACATGGTAGTTAATTTCAGGATCTATAAAATTAATCGTAATATACATAAACTAATTTGAATATCCATATTAACCTAAAAAAAATAAATATTATGTTAAATTCATGATATTTGATGCAATAGACACCTGGGGCTCTTTGGATTCTAGGATTGAAGATAAAATGCTGTTCTTGGAAGTTTGTGGATGAGCATATTTGATTATTTTTCTAATGCATAATGGGCCCTTGTGTTGCTAGCTCCAATGTAATAAATATGAGAAAAGAAAAAAAGGAAAAAAAGAAAGAAAAAGAAGAAGTGAGGATGTACAAGTGAGTTATTTGTGTCCATAAACTGTGGGCAGGAGGCCAGGAATGATGGCTGTGCATGCATTTGAAAAACAAAACAATTCAGGAGTTGTTCATGATCCAGAGAATCTTGCTGCAAAGGAACATCATTGTTTAACTTGCTATTGATAAACAGTTCAATACAAAATCATTAATTCTTGACAAAACAGAATTATCTACTTCAACTACATCATTCTAGAGAGAATAAAAAACAGTCCTGCAAATGTTTTACCATAAGAAAAAAAAAAGATAGAAATATGTTTAATTGAAGAAATAAATATAATAAAAATGATAGTTTTAAAGTGAAATTATGTCTTCCAAACTAAAAAAACATAAATATATTTTCTTTGCCTTAATTAATTGTTTCTGTTTTTTGTGTATCGAGACAATAATACAACGCTGTCCAAATTAGTACTCGCAGGGAAAGAAAAAAATAGCCTTAATTCAGCAATCTTCAAAATTAACTGGATGTATAGGGAAATATGTATAGATTATTCAAAAAAATTATTTTAAAAACACTATATATATTTCAACAAATGGAAACAGATTGGAATTTTGTTGATCCGATCAGTTGTGGAGTGGGTTTGGTCCGCAAGGAACAAGCCTGCGCGAGACGGTGTGCAGTGCCTTGATGTTGTTAGTGCTGGATTCTGAAGCCTTAAAAATGGAAGAAAGGGCTTGTAGAAACATTGAAGAATGTTTGGTTTTCGACCCTTGTCCTGTTTCTCCATTGCTAGGAGACCTTTTGGTATCGCGGCAAGTGGCGCCATGAACGAATACCAGGAACACTATCAGGAAAATAAGGAACTGCTGAGGATTTTTATTCCTCATGATGAAAATGGTGGGGATATAGAGAGCAGAGAGTTTGACAGATAGGAAAATGGATTTTAGAGCAGAAGGAATATGGTAGGTTTGTTGTTCGTACTTTGTCTGTGGTTAATTAGGCAGCTTCGTAGTTTATTTATAAGGCTGGCCATGTCAGGCCAGGCCACCTTATGTTTATTAGCATTTGACATTCATAAATTATCAACTCAGAATTTTTATTTTTTTAATTAATATATATATAATCAAATTAACTTGTATATATTTTGATTAATTCTA